CCCGTGTTTTTTTTTTTTTTTTTTTTTTGTTGGTTGCTGCTAGAGGCAAAAACACCAACCCAAGCCAAAAAACGTGGCTGTGTTCCCCTTTTTTTTTTTTTTTTCAGTTCGTCGCGTCTGTATGCACCAACACAAACCCTTCCTCTTTTTGTTTCATTTCTCTTTTTTTTTTTTTGCTATCACAGACCTTTTTTTAAAACAAAACACAAAGACTCTCCTCCAAGCTTTTTGTTTGCTGACTATCCCATTTCCAAGTGGGTCTATAACTAATGGGTCTGTTTAACTCAGGATTCCATGGCTGTGCTCCTTCCTTTGTTTTGACAGTTTGTACCAAACTAGGAATTGATACAAGACTTGGCTATGCAAAGGGACCAGCTCCTTCAAACTCTTTTTTGTTTTGTTTTTTTCTATATGCAAACAATTGATTTTTTTTCTTTCCCGTTTTTGTTTTAGAGCAGCCCAGACACAGAAGAAATCAGTGTGCCTTTTTTTGACGGAGAGGGAAATAGTTGATCAAATTCTCCAAAGTCAGAGGTATAACACTTTTTTGTTTGCATCTGCTACGAAAGTAAAAACCCATTTCATTTGCTAATTGTCATGGATCTTTGAACCCACTTTTCTAGACTTCTTTCATCTGCAAAGGTTCTGGGTTTTTCACCCATATGGATTTGCATCCAAGTAATTTTGGGGTTTTCACCCATGGATTTGCATCCAAGTAATTTTGGGGTTTTCACCCATGGATTTATGGCATGCTATGCCTAACATAGAAAAGAAAAATAGAGATGACAGAATACCTGTAGCAATTTTTTTCTCTTCTTTGCACTGCTCTAATTTCTCCCGCAGTCTTTTTTAACATGTCGCCATCTTTTTCTTCCTTTTTCTTTCTTTTTTCTGTTGTAGCATTTTTGTAGGCCAACTAGATAAGACTCCCTTGAACAAACAACACTTTCAAATTTCAAATAAGTGCTGATCAGATTCAGCCTCCCTTTTATCTCACCAATTTGAAACATCACAGATATCCCAAAATTTTGGAAACCCATGTTGGCTTGCATTTATCATTCAATTTTTTTTATTTCAATAGTCGGCCCCTCAAGCTTCGTGCGTGTAATGTCTTTACGGGTGCGGAGCTTGAGAAGCTTTTGCCTTAAACTGTGAACTAATTCCCTTATGCATTCTCAAATCCAGGTGATGAATGCACATGGGAACCTTTGCCAAGGACATGCCCTCGATGCACGTGGAGAAGCAATCATGGTTGGTCTAGAATATATGAGATCCTTTCCTATGAACTCGATCAACCTCTCCTTACCCACTGAGAGTCACGTGACTTGGTTCAGTATTGATCAAGTGAGTAGTGGACATTTCAAGTTTAACCCTCATGAAGAAGACAAAGTCATTCAGGTTTCCCAAGCAAGAGGTGCGTACTTTCAAGCTCACTGTTTGACGAAAGTAAACAACTCGTTAGATGGGGACAAAGAGGTTTTACCCAGAGATGAATTTTATCAGGCTATGCACAAGATGCTTCTTGAACAAATTGCATGGGAGAGCAATTTTAGGTTTCATGGTCGAGCTACCTTCCAACCATTCGTAATGGAATGGACAAAAACTATCTTGCACAATTTTGGAGATATTTTGCACCTACCTGGTATTTTTGGTGCAGTGGTCGTTTCCCGTTACTCTTATGATTGTTGCTCTAATGTGTGGACAGCATTTTGCGAGTTATGGGGGGCCTCTATCCAACACTTTGCATCACGGAAATGGTGAAATGAGCATTTCTTCATACGACTTGAAAGTTATTGGCAGGTTACCGATTTTGGGTCTCTCGTATGACGAATTCATCCCTCTAAACGAAGAATTGTACCATGAAGATTTGTATCCTTCGAGTGTTGGTGAACTTTTGAGAATCCATGCATAATTATACATTTTCCATTAGAAAGGTCAAGTCTACTGCAATCACTAGGTTAAGCATTTTTTCTAAGGAAAAGCTGTATATGGTGCTACTGGAAATGGCAAGAACGTAATTCCTAAAAACATTTCTCACGAAGGTCAGCTAGCTGCTTTCTTAGCTTTTTAGCTTAGCCATTTTGTCATACCTACTAACAAGGCCATAAGGCATGAGTGCTTCTATATGGCAAGTTTGATGGCTCGTGGGCTCAAAGTTGCACTTTCTCTAGCAGTATTAGGCGTTATTTACCATGCTCTTGGTACAGTTGCTATTCACCTTAGAGGCCCTGGCCTACCAAACGCATGTCTTCCCATTCACTACGTGCTTGGATGGTTAGGCAAGCATTTTCCTGACCTGACTGCACGTCGATGTGATAGCAACTTTCCAGAATATTACCCTGTTCTTGCGAGGTATAGCCAAATCGATGCCAAATATGTTGACCTCACTAGAGCTAGGATAATATTCAAAAGTGATTCTGTGGTTTATCACCCCAGTGTCTTCCTTGCACAAGAAGATTATATCCTTTCAGACATAGAAAACCTAGCAGATGATACCTTTGAGTACTTGATTTTCATGCGCTCGTGGCCACCTTTGATTGGAACCTTATTATCGAAACAGAATTGCTCACGAGTTTAGTTTTGACCAAGGAGTTCCAGTGAATAAACTTCTATTTAGCGTCTGTGAGAGACAACGATGTGGGATTGAAAAGTTGGCAAGAGCACAAGTCGTCCTCTTTCACAAGGATACGACAATGCGTTTCTATATTTCGCGTTTTACTAGCATGGGGAGTGCTCTTGGTGGTATTGTAGATGGTGGATGACTGCCTGTGTACCTTATATGGGATTTTCTAAGTCAAAAATTTTCTCAGTTGTAGATAGGCAAGTCCAAAGGAGGGTCCACATCTTTGTGATTGATAATTTGAAACGTATTTCGATAGGCACGGGCAAAAGAGGCTTCAATTCATCTTCATCTCCTCTTGTTGCTTCTTTGAGAAGAGGACACAAGAAGAGAATTCGTAATGCTAGAGGGTAACATTTCTCAGGGGTTAATCACGTGATGCACCAATCTCAAAGGGTTAATCGAGAGAAAGGTCAAGTCTACTGCAATCACTAGGTTAAGCATTTTTTCTAAGGAAAAGCTGTATATGGTGCTACTGGAAATGGCAAGAACGTAATTCCTAAAAACATTTCTCACGAAGGTCAGCTAGCTGCTTTCTTAGCTTTTTAGCTTAGCCATTTTGTCATACCTACTAACAAGGCCATAAGGCATGAGTGCTTCTATATGGCAAGTTTGATGGCTCGTGGGCTCAAAGTTGCACTTTCTCTAGCAGTATTAGGCGTTATTTACCATGCTCTTGGTACAGTTGCTATTCACCTTAGAGGCCCTGGCCTACCAAACGCATGTCTTCCCATTCACTACGTGCTTGGATGGTTAGGCAAGCATTTTCCTGACCTGACTGCACGTCGATGTGATAGCAACTTTCCAGAATATTACCCTGTTCTTGCGAGGTATAGCCAAATCGATGCCAAATATGTTGACCTCACTAGAGCTAGGATAATATTCAAAAGTGATTCTGTGGTTTATCACCCCAGTGTCTTCCTTGCACAAGAAGATTATATCCTTTCAGACATAGAAAACCTAGCAGATGATACCTTTGAGTACTTGATTTTCATGCGCTCGTGGCCACCTTTGATTGGAACCTTATTATCGAAACAGAATTGCTCACGAGTTTAGTTTTGACCAAGGAGTTCCAGTGAATAAACTTCTATTTAGCGTCTGTGAGAGACAACGATGTGGGATTGAAAAGTTGGCAAGAGCACAAGTCGTCCTCTTTCACAAGGATACGACAATGCGTTTCTATATTTCGCGTTTTACTAGCATGGGGAGTGCT